CTGCTACGCCTCCCCCAAATCCCAATCCTGAAGCCCTGACTCCCAATATGACTGTACCTGGAGCTGGGGGTCTCTGGGGGTTGCCAGGGCTAGACGCTGTCCCAAGGGCAGGCCCAGTCCCACAGGACGGGCATCCTCACAAGAGGAGCAGGACCCGCAGGGTGTGCCAGGCTCGCCGCAGGAGGTGGCGTGTGCAGGCAGGGACAGGCCTGCCCAGGCCCCCGCCCGGCCTCTGCGGGACAGGCGGCCTCCCGAGTCAGGGAATGCCGCTGCCTGAGCTGCCCAGCCTGCGATGCCAGCGTGGCCCTGGCAAGTACCGGCAGAGCCTGCCTGCGCCTCGCTGTCCACGCAGTAGCCAGTGTGCGCGTCGGGCGGCCCCAGCCTTGAGTCTGAGCCCCAGCCCCACCCCCCCAGGACCTGGCCGTGGTGACCGTGGCCCGGGACGACTTTCTGGACAGAGCTGCACAGCCCACACCCCGTGGTGGCAGGAGGGGCCGCGGAGAGGAAGGGCAGGGTCGGTCCCAGCGTCCCCCGGTTGCCCTGGTACTTAGGGCCGGTCACCACGGCGCCTGGGAGGGTCTAGAAGGACCTGGGTCCCCGAGGGAGACCCGAGACGGCGCCCCAGCCCCCACGGAACCCTAAACGACAGACAGACCGGCTAGAACTCTATTTTGGAGGCGAGCGGGCGCGTGGAAACTGGCGTTTACAACACGGAGCAGCTGCTTGGCGACGAGGGCGCACACGCCAGGGCCAGCAGCCTCCGTGCAGCCTATTAAGGGAGGAGAGCGGCGAGGCTGCCGCGCCGTTACCACAGACGGCGGCGTCGCCACCGGGACAACGCGCCCCGGGCTCGTCCTGTGTTCCGTCAGGGAGCAGCTCGTGACGCCGCTGGGAGCGGGGTCTTGGGGTGCTGATTAATATTGCAGATTACAATCGTGCTAATAGAGTCGTTTGCCTGTATTTTTAAATACTCTAAAGATAACAAAAACATTCTATTTTGGAGCCACGGGGCCTAGTGCGACGTTTTGCAGAGGGCTTGCGTGCGCTGTGACTAACGGGACTCCCGCTGCATCGTGGGGCGCGGAGAGTCCCTGCCCCAGAGGCTCCGGCGGCACCACCCAGGCACGGGGGACAGCGCCCGCCCCGCCTCTGCCTCCCAGGGAAGCGCCCCGGCCCGGGTGAAAGCAGGTCACAGTGGCGGTGGCCTCAGCTCCTGTGCAGAGCCCAGACACCTGGGCCTCCCTGCTGCGTGGTGTCTGTGGCTCCAGCGCCCAGAGGCTCTGCCAGCCCCTCCCACTGGTCGCTGCACCCCAACTGTCCAAGGCAGACCATCTTTCCCTCCCCCGTAACCCTCCCACATTTCTTAAGCACGACTATACCCCGGCTGCAGCAACTGGTGCTCTGCATGGGCCAAGTCCACCCGGCCGGGATGAATCCAGGGACTTCTGCAGCCAGGAAAGAACCATTTTCTCCCGCTCTGGACTTGGACCGAGAAGCACATAAGCCCTGGGGCTGCCGAGAACCTCCCAGAGAGGCGAGCTGGCCAGAGGATCAAATTGCCATGGAAGAGATGGAGAGAAAGCTGCCAGGGACATCACTTGAGCACCTGGATCCAGCTATGCCTGAAGCCGCCGAGGTTCTTCAATGAATTGAACTAATAAATCCCCTTACGGAGGGACCCTGGGGTTTTATCATCTCCAATTACGAAAGCAATAAAACCAGAGCAACCCCCAGCTGGATGCGGCAGGGAGAAGCCCTGGGTCAGGAGTTTAAGGTCAGGTGTCACCCAGCTCTGCCACAAGCCAGGTGTTTCATTTTCAGTAACCACGAGCCCCAACTTCCTCTTCGGAAAGACAGGGGCCGGGACTAAATCAGGTTTCCTCAAAACGGTCTGGACGTCCCAAATAGTCTCGGGGGCATCCCAAAGCTTACCAGAACCTGTTCTTCTGTGCTCTCAAAAAGAAAACCTAGAGTAAGGACGGCACTTTCCAAGACAAAATCGTGTTGCCCTGGCAATCTGCGTTTTTAGTCAGAACTCCAGTCTTCACAATAGCTTTTAACTCATTTCCCCTCTTCACAGCGGTCTTGGGCACCACGCAGGAGGTCCTGGTCCTTGCCGGGGCTGGGTGGTGCTGGGTGCCCTGTCCCAGGGCTCGAGAGCCGAGGGGCTGCTTTGCTCTGGTGACCCAGGTTCAAATCCGCAGCTGCACCTCACGGGCCAGAGACCCAGGCAAGGCGCCTAATTTCTCCAGGCCGCTGTCTCACGTGCAGACACGGAGCAATGGCCCCGAGCTCGCGGGACTACTGGCGGCCAGAGAAGCGTCCCGTGGTCCAGAATCGGTGCCCCACATGCCCGGAGGGTCCTCGTGTGGACGCCCTGATACACAGAGAACGGCGGCCAACGACGAGGTGCTTGGCCTGATGGGAAGCGTGTGTGACCGCTGCTTTCGGGGCCAGACCCACACGAGCCAGCCACAGGCCCCAGGAAGAGGCCCCAGGCCTCCCACGACACCCCTCACCCCAGGGGAGGACGGACTGCCGCTGGCATTGCCCATCGCCAGCATGACGCGGGGACAGAGGCCCAAGTATGGCCAACGGGGTGGACGCACAGCGCTTTGGGGACAGCTGGGCAGCTCTGAGTGAAATTAAGCCAAGTCCTGCCTCAGGATGGGGTGTTTCCCAGCGGGAACCCCCCGGCTGGAGGAGTCCTGCACGGGAGCGTCTGTCCCCTGAGTTCAGAGGCACCCAGGAGGAGAAGCCACAGCCAGAAGGAGCGAGCCCCACAGTGCCAGGGCGCCCCACCAGCCTGCCAGGCAGCGCCCCTCCAGCACAGACAGGCCCCACGCGGCGCCATCTCAACCAGCCCGACCCCCAAGAGGCCAGGCTGCCCCTGGGGGCTCCACCTCATGAAGGTGGCTGAGTTGTGGTGACCTGCTTGACCTCCGGGACCTGCCGGGGTCGCAGGACAGATGGTTTGTCTGCCCCAGGCCAGGGGGCCGGAGGGCGCTGAGTGAGGGCAGGCACTGTGCAGGGCCTGGCCCACTGCCACGTGCAGCGGCACCGCCGCCGGGGTTGGGACCTGCTGCCCTGTGCCCGGTCACCTCCTGTTCCTGGTCACCAGAACCGGCCGGAGCCCCTTGAGTGCAGGAGCCAGTAGGGCCTCCCCTGGGCGTTCCCCAAGGGTGCTGTGCTGCAGACATGGGCACAGAAGACCCCCCCCCCCAAGACTAGCTGGCCTGATGCCCCCAGCAGTTCTGCACTACCGGCCGGGGTCCTGCAGCTCGGCCCCTTCCTGACTCGGCTGCCTGGAGGCCATGGGTGAGGGGTCAGCCCCCAAGACTGCCCCATCCCGGCAAATGCCAGGTCCAGGCCAGGGCATCTCCCGCATCTGACCAGGCGGCTGTAGATCGGGGGTCCCTCCTGGGGAACGGGGGAATGCCCTCCTGGGGGTCACCACTGGAGCAGCCCACAGAGCCCCCAGATCACCTGCTTGTCATTCCTGGCTGAGGCTCCGGAGCAGCCAGATGGGTCAGCCCCGCGGGGTGGAGGCGTGGGACACGGGGCTCCCCGCCCGCTCCAGGAGCCCCGCACACCCCAGTTCTGCATGTGTGCCCCAACGTGGGGCTTCTCTGAACCCAGTCCTTTGGGGTTTGGAGGCTTCGTTACTGGGATGTGACTGATTAAATTTGGCTCCTGGGGCTGAACCCCATCCCAACCCCGCCCCGGAGGTCCATGTGGGCAGCAGTTCCCACCCCCTGTGCCACACGGGCTCCACCATCCCCGCCACGCACTCAGGTGCTTAGAGAACCGCCTCGTTCCCAACAAAGGACCGTCACCGCCGCCACCACAGGGGATGCCAGGGCCGGGAGCTCGGTGCCAGGGAACTGGGATGACGACTGAATATACACTCTTATCACAAACCAGAGCACGCCGCCCCTCCCCGCCGCTCCCACAGACACAGAAGTCCCTCCGGAGGAGACAGGACAAGGCCCTCCGGGCCAGTCTCGTGGGGGACACGGCCCCAGTGGGGACACGGCCAGTGTGTGGGGGCCACCTGCGTGGCCCGGGGAGCAGAAGTGTGGGCAGGAGGAGAGGCTCCAGGCTGTGCCTGCCTTCCGCTCCCTCCAGGAAGCCAGGGCATTCTCGACGACGCAGCAGCAGGAGGCCCCAGTGGCCTCGCAGCCGGTCCCCAGGGCTGCCCAGTCAGGCGCGGCGTGGCCAGCAGGATGGGCAGCCGCTGCGGGTCCCCGCAGGAGAGGGTGCAGCACGGGGACCGGGGCTGCAGCTGGCCCTTCGTGGGAGAGGCTGGTTGAGCTGGGCCGGCCTCACAGGGGCCCAGGGCACACACAGCTGGGGTCAGGCTCCAGCCACCCGCTGACCACTGCCCCGGACCATGCGACAGCCTCCCCTCCAAGGCCAACTTTGGGACGATTCAAGCCTCACACCTTTGCAACAGGGAAAAAGTCACCGTCCCCCTCTGGTGCCTGAACTTGAGCAGAGAGCGCGGCGGGGGCTGAGCACAAGTAAACGCAACTGGACTCGAGTCCTCGAGAAGGGAGCCGGGTGTCTCCCTGAGGAAGACTCCACGCCGCCCTCCAGGGCCTGCCCTGCACCCCTCCCCTGCACAAGGCGGGCTCTGCCAAATGCCAGGGCAGGCGGGTTGGGGTCTCCACGGCGCGAGCCCCCCCCCCCCCACATGCATTTTTTTCTCAAGAGCACTCCAGGCAGGGCCTCCTCCCAGCACAGAATCAGTGCCGTCTGGCCGTGAGGCAGCTGCAGCCAGGGCTGCCCTGGGGAGTCAGGACACAGGTGGGACCCTCCAGGGCTCGGGCAGGTGTGCACCAGCCGCGGGTGGTCGAGGCCTCAGACCCGGGCGCCGTCACGACATAACAGAGGGACTGAGTGGTCCAGCCCGGTCCTGGCCCTGGACACAGGCTCCAGGGCGAGGCATGGCCAATGCACAGCCACAGGAGGGGGCGCTGGTGAGGGCGCGGCCTTACCTGCCTGGACGTCCTTGGGCTTGCCCTGCACCTCCTCCACGCACTCGGCCGGGAACCATCCAACATGGCCGCGGGCGCTGCCTTCCCAGAAGCCCCCCTCGCCGATGCTGAGCACTGCAGATGAGAGGGTGGGGTCAGCAGCAGGCCGGGGTGACCCGAGGGGGCGGCGGGGGGCAGGCCTCTGGCCTGCAGAGGCACCGGCCATCAAGGGCACAGGGGAGCACTAAAGTCCCCCGGGATGCAGGGCAGGTGGGGTGGGGACCAGGGGGCCCTGGGGCCGGCAGGCTGGGACGTGGGGTGAGGTCTGTGTCTGGGCCTCAGGTGCCAGCCCGACGAGCCCCCACACCCCAGCTGCCTGGGGGTGGCTGTGCCACCGGGAAGTGGACACATCCCCCGAGCGTCTTGGGCCCGAAAGGACACCACAGCTGTGAAAAGGGGTCGGGGCCCCAGAGCCACTCTCCTCTTGCTCTCGTGTTCACTTCAAAAGCCAGTAAGGACCAGCTGGACCCTGGGCTTCCAAGGCCGCGGGGCAGCGCACATCGGGCAGTCACCGGGAGCAGTGACCTCCACAATGCCCAGCCCGGCCGAGCTACGGGAGCCGGTGCTGGCCTCAGGCAGCTGGCACCAGGACGCACACAAGTCCAGGGGGGCCGGCCCGAGAGGTCCCACCCCAGGCTGTCCTGGACACTGACGGAGGCAGGGACCACGCCTGGAGCAGCCCCTCCCCGCTCTGTGCCCCTGGGTGGGGCGGGTGGTCTGGGAGGAGGCGATGGCATCTCTGGGCACCGGGGAAGGCTCCTCAATCCCCTGCCTCGTGGACCACGCCATGTGGCCCCTGGAGTCACTGTGTGGGATGGAGGCCCTGGCCCCAGCAGGGAGCCCCTAGGCTGCTCTCCGTGCCGCACCCACCTCCCGTGGGCGAGGTGGAAGGGGACCGGGCAGGCAGGGGTGCGGTTCTCGTCCGGAGGGCGCCCGCGGCACCTATCTGGGGTTCTGCGCCAATGATAGAGCTGCCACCTCCCTACCCCAGCCACCCATCTGCCGCCGGTCCCTGTGCCCGCATGGCCGTCCGACCACCTGCAGCCACGCGGCCCACCGGCAGTCCCCGGGGACACAGGGAACGGCCACCCCACGACGCGTGGTCAGCAACAGCCAGAGCTGCGGGGTTGGGGAATTCTTCACACCAGTAATTTGATTGTGTAATTTAACAATTCACCAAAAAGCACCGTTCAGTTACACAGTCACCAGTCCGGGGACTCCTGCCTCTGGGCACGACAGCCGAGGCCCCCGGCCCCACCCGTGTGGACAGAAAGGGGCCCATGGGTGCAGCCGGGCCCGGAGACAGACACGGGGAAGGATGCCACGGCACAGGCTGGTGCAGCCGGGAGGTGGAGCCAGGCCCCTGGGAGGCCTGAGGGTCGGCCCTCAGGGAAGGAGCCGGGGTGCCCTGGGCACAGCAGTCCCCGCAGCCAGCGGATCGCGCTGCCCCACCCGCTGTCCAGCAGGCGGCGGGAGATCGCTGGACACATGGAGCCCCCGAGTTGAGGGGGACGCCCACACCCCGCAGGCTGGCTGAGGAGGGCGGCGCTGGGCACTGACCTTTGACCCTGTCGCCCCTGTGGAGCGGGATCTCGCCGTCGACCTGGGGCTGGTATGGCTTCACGACGACGAAGAGCCGCCCGGGCACCGCACTGTACAGCTTCCGCCGGGGCCCAGGGTACTCGAGGGCGGACAGGGGGTCCTTGCCGGCGCCGGGCAGGAAGGCCGGGCTGCAGGGGGACAGCAGAGGGAGGGGGTCAGGGCCGGGCGCCGTGCCCGCCACACGCCAGACCCCGCCAACCCGTCCCCAGCACATGGGCCCCCTGGCCATGGTGGTGGGGACATGGGCGCGGGCGGTGAGCCCACTCCAGGTGCAGCCCAGAGGGCGCCAGCAGGTGGACACTGACGGCACCACAGCCCATGGGCACCCTCAGGTGGGGATGCCGTTCGTCCCAAGAAGGAGGGTCAAGCAGACATTTTGCCCTCTGACCTCGACGGCGGCCAGCCAGGAGGAGACAGGGGTGTCAGGACAGTGGCCGGGCCGAGGACTTGGAGGGAGGGGAAGGGCCAGGCAAGGCCCACCGACCCAACTCACCTCTGGGGTGTGGAGAAACGGCCGGGGCTGTCTGCCGGACCCCAAAGCCCAGATGCCCCCCAGCCAGTGGCAGTGGTGGGGACTCCCGGTCACGTGAGTGTGTCTCAGCGGCTCAGGGGACTCGGGAGGCGGGAGGCCACAGGGCTTGTCCCCAACTGTCCCCAGGACCCCTCTCTGCCCCGGGTCACAGCCCCAGAGGGGGCTCAGGATGCAGGCGCCAGCGCCCTGCTCACCGCCTGGCACCACTCTCCTGCCCCACCCCTCCCTGGCCTGTGAAGACAGACATGCCGGGGGCCTCCCCGGTGGCACGGTAGGTTGAGTGCAGCGCAGTGAAGCTGTCACAGCCTCTGTAGCGCAGGTTCGATCCCGGTCGGTCAGGGAGCAACACACATGACGCGGCAGACCGCGCCCGCCTCGCCCGCTGCTCCCCTCAGAGTGGATTTCGTCCATCTGCCTGTTCTGCTCCCCACTCTGTCTCTGGGGAATCCTCTCACCCTCCCACGCCTCTGGCCTGTACCCCAGCTCTTGTATAAAAATAAATAAATCTTTTTTTTAAAAATTTAAAAAATAATAAAAGATGGACGAGCCGGGCGGGATGAGCCGGTGCTCACCGCCCAGCGGAAGCCCTGGCCCCAAGCACCCCACGCAGGCTGGGCGCTGTGAGCCTCACAGACACACAGGACAAGAGGGTATGTGCATACCACACGCACACGCACGCACACATGTGCACACGCAGCCCCTGTGCACACCCACGCATGGGACACGCCCACACGGGACACGCACGCAGCTGTGTCTGTCTGCTCACAGCGGACACGCACACGGCAGAAGCAGCGCACACCCACAGACACGCAGCCCAGGCACGCGGGCACCACCCCACAACCGTCGGGACGGTCAGACAGGTCCCCCCACGCCCCGCCCGCTGCCTGTGACATGCGGCCTGTGGGCTCTGCGGTCCCGCCACCCTCCCCGGCATCAACCAGACCCCCACCACGGGGAGCAGGCCCGTGTGAGTGACGACATGTTCCGGCCAACCGCGAGGCCGTGCCTGCTCCGGCGGTGGGGGGGGGGGGGGTCCTCTAATTTAGCTTTAAACTGTGCAGAGCCTGGGACTCGCCCGGGGTTACCCGAGTGAGATTCTAGACTAGAGCCCAGAACCGGGTCTCGCCATCCGGAAGGAGACGCAGAGGGCGTGTCGGTGGGTCAGGGTGCGGACGTGGGGTCTGCTGGAGGAGCGGGTTGGCCCCCACAGCCCCTGTGAGTGGCCGGAGACTCGAGCCCTCAGCCTCGCCGCAGCCCAGAGACCTGGGGTCACGGCCCCGTTCCCTCCGGGACCACAGAAGTACCGCTGGCTCCCTGTGGGCCACAACCCCCAATGCACAGCCCATAGGACAGCAGGCGGTGGGGATCCCCCAACACCCCGATCTCAGCTGGGGTGAGGCCTCAGGGTCTGGCCATGGTCAGGCAGGCGGCTAGACGAGCCCCAGGGCCTCTGGAGTCCAGGCGGAAGGCACAGTCCACGGCTGCTCCCAGGCCACCACAAGTGGGCGCAGAGTATGAGGGGGACATGCCTGTGAACCTCTTGTTGCAGACTCAGAACCGGGGAGCTGGGCCGCAGGCCCTGCTTCTGAATCACAGGTTCACGTGCAGGCGGGAGGAGCACACCCCAAGTCCCTTCCATGCGTGCTGGGCAGGGGCACACCTCGCATGACCGCGGGAGAGCTGGAGCCGCTCCCCACTTCTGGGGAGACGCAAGGTTTGGGGGCCAGCGCTCGAGTCACGCACCCTCATCCCCAAAGGGGCTTGGAGGGCCTCCCGTTGCCTGGGGCACCTGGGGCATGCCAGGCGTCCGGCCTGGGCAGACTCGGCAGCAGCAGTTGACACCCGACTGCTGTCAGCCCTGGCCCAGCAGGGCCCTCCCTGCACAGGGCTTCTCTGTGCCAGGGGGGATCTGGGCCTCGGGCAGGTCTGAAGATGTGGTGCCAGGAGCAGCCGGCAGGGGCCGGGGCTGGAGCCTTGGCCCCTCTTCTGGCCTGGCCTGTCCTGTGGGGGGGGGGGGCAGTGCAGGGGGGGAGGGAGCAGCCCACCAGGAAGCACCACCCCCCAGCCGCCCTTGGGTGCCTGGGTGCCAGCAAGGGCTCCTGAAGGTGACCCCGGGTCCTCGCAGCCCTCAGCTTTCAGGCTCCACATGTGCGCTGGGGCCAAGCAGGCGCCTGCCCGCTCTGGACAAGCCCCTGGAATCCAGGCCCCGATGTCATCCTGCGGCCAACAGTGCCCGCCCCGCACCAGCCCCGCCACCCGCCATCGCCGCTCCTTACCCCACGTGCCAGGGCTGCGGCGGCCTCTTGCCATCCTCGCCGGCGCCACCCAGCCTGTTGAGCGACGGGGACCGGCTGCGGGGCCCGGGGGTGTAGCTGCCGAGGGGCTTGGGGGCGCCGTCGGCCCGGCCGGGCGCGGGCTGCAGCAGCTGGGGCGAGAGGCTGCGCTGGGCGGCGGGGCACACGGCCCACTCGGGCACACTGGAGTTGAGGTTGTTGTCGCTGTTGGAGCGCAGCAGCACCCGGGGGGCGGCCAGCGTGCTGGGGGGCCGCCGCCTGCGGTTGGAGTACGCCGGGGCCTCTCGGAAGGGCACTGGGGACAGAGGGGAGAGGTGGTGAGTGCAGGTGGCCCCGAGGCTCAGGTGGGCCCCCCACAGCACGGACGGGGCGTGAGTTCTGTGCCGAGATGCAGCGGACCCCACGCGTCCAGAACTCAGCCCAACACAGAAGCAGGACGAGGTGGGGACCGGGAACGCCCCGCTTCACGGGGGCTCACGCTGATGCCCGAGATGGAAGGGCGCACTGGGCTTCCATCCGGCGCAGCCCCGCCCTCGGCAGGGGGCAGGGGAGCGCTGCTGCCCCGGCCGCACAGTCACACGCTGAGGCCAGCCTCCTCGCCCCCCCTGACCTCGTCCCTGGTAGGCCGGACCGCGTCACCCCCAGAGTCACACGCTGGGGCCCTCACCCCTGGTACTTGTGGATGTGATGCCGTTTGGAGTCTTTACAGAGATGGTGTGATAAACTAGGGTCACAGGTGGCCCCAACCCCGATGGCCGCGTCCCCCTAAGAGGGGGGTCAGGACACACGCACAGAGGGACGGGCCTCAAGGACACGGGGAGGGCACGTCCACACGCCATCTGGGGGGCTGGGTCGGACTCACAGGTCTTCGGCTCAGCTGGGGGAGGCTGAGCTTCCACCCGAGCTCCTTCTCCTGCCGTCAAACTTGGGGGAGAGGCGGGCACACCCATCGGGCTTCTTGCAAAGTTCCAGAGCTGGAACGGCCCTTACTCTGCCGAGTTGAGCTGCCCAGGGACTCAGAATGAGGACACCGCCCATGGGGACTGCCGGGGCCACAGATGCCCCGGGCTCTGCGGAGCCAGGAATAGACACCGTCCTCTCCAGGAAGAGCCACCTTGGGGAACGGGCCCTCCCGGCTGACGGGAGGGAGGGGGCAAGGACCCTGGCTCAAAGGGCAGGGCTGGGCGACTCTGTCCCCAGAGCAGCCACCCCTCCCTGGGCAGGCGGGCGGGCGGGCCCCGGCCAGGGCTGCCGTCTACAGCCAGGGCTGCAGAGCAGCAGCGGAAGTGCTCCCGGGCGGAAGGGACCTGGGGTGGGAGTTTTAGGGTCCCAAGGAGATCGCCCCAAGTCTCCGTCCTGGATGACCATCCCCGGCCGCCCTGGGTCAGAGGCTGCGGTGAAGCTCCCAGCAGAACCCAAGGACAGCTGCAGCCTTTCCAGAGCCTGACTTCGACTCTGCTACCAGCCCCCCCCCACACTGCATCGCAGAGCTCACGGGATAGAGGTGGCTCGGGCAGGGCACACTAGGGTCAGAGATGGTGCTGGCAGAATTCTCTGCTAGCAAAGGTGCTAGAAAAACCTTTGGAAGAGGCAGAAGTGGCACTAGCAGAGCTCAGAGGGGAAAGAAATGTAAGTTCTAGCAGAGCTCACTGGAGAGATGGTGCTGGCAAAGGGCACTGCGAGCAGAGGTGGCACAGGCAGAGCACAAGGGAGATGAGGTGGCACTGGCCCAGTGCACTGGGGGAGAGATGTCATTGGTAGACCTTGCTGGGGGAGAGGTGGCACTGGCAGAGCTCACTGGGGATAGAGGTGGTGCTGGCAGGGTGCAGGGAGACAGCTGTGACCCGGTGCACCCCTGGCTGCCTGCCCGGGATGCAGGGCTTCTGAGTCTTCCTGAGGACGCGCGCTCAATGGGCGTTTAGCTCAGCGCGTCAGTGAGCTGGGGGATGACACACTGGGGAGGCCACATCCTCCCCGAGTCAGCAGCAGTGCTCCCATGTGCCGCTTCCCCCGTAGCCTTTTAGGGGAGCGAGACACACGACTGCAGCCTGCTCTTGGGCTGGTCCGCCCGTCATTCCCAGAGCAGACCCACTCCCGAGCCAGCAGGAGAGACAGGACCGGACCATCTCTAAGGCCCAGAAGCCCCCCTCCCAGGGGCTCAGGCTGGCTCTCGAGGGTCCATCAGGAGCCCACCTCCTCTGAGGGGACAGCGCCAGTCACGGGGGAAAGCCGCCTCGGTGTCGCCCAAGCAGGCGTAGGCTGTGCGTCCTCTGGAAGGACTGAGCGTTCCTGCCGTGTGGGGTTTGAAAGCACGCTGTGGTGGGACTCTGGGGTGATCTGATAAAGGGGGAGCCGGGGAGACAACCTCTCGCGCTGTGCCCCCCTGTCCCAGGCGGGTATACTTGCTGGAGGTGGGGGTGCCGGTGCAAGGAAGCAGCGTCCCCAGCAGGCTCACAGAGACAGGGCCCCAAGGCTCCCTGGAGCACCCCAACTGCCACACCCAAGTCACACCAACTGTGGGGGCACACCCAGCTGCAGAGGGGACCCTCCCAGACAAGGCAGCACCCACGCTCTGGCGGGAGCCGCGGCTGACCCGCCAGCAGCAAGGACAGCACAGTCAATCCTAATTTCCTGACCCAAGCAGCTGAGTGGGTGCCAACGCCCCTAAGAGGAAGTGACAGGATTTGGGGGCGCCCTCAATGGCTAAGCAAGACTCACAGGGAAGAGATGCCCACGGAATACAGAGACAGACGCGGGGTGAGCTGAGCACCCCCAAACTGGAATCTCCAGGCTGTGCCTCGGCGGCAAGAATCGCAGTCCCGGAGGCGGGATTTGGGCACAGAGGAGGCTGTTTGCACGGAAAGGTCTGAGAGCCGGAGGCGCTGCTGCTGCCGAGGGGACCGCAGGGGCTGGGCAGGGAGCGGGCCCTTCCCAGCCACCCCGTCTCCTAGGTGACATTAGGGAGCGCATTCGAAGCGCATTCTAATGAAGATGCGCTCGCTAATCACCCAGCTTCACATCAAATGAGCTTCCTGAGCAATTTAATTGGAAATCTGGTGCGTGGAGCCGCGGTCGGGGCTGAGAGCACTTTCTGGGGGGCGTCCTCCGAGACCCGGCAGTCCCGCCAGGAGGCTCCGGCTGGCTGGGGCCCTCCGTGGCCATGTGGATGTTTCTTTTTGTGAAAAGGGTTAAAAATAACTCTTTTCCTGTCTGAAATGATTAATATTCCACCCAACTGTTTCCTTCTTTCATGCAATCTGCAAACTCGAGGTGGGTGGATATTTTCTTAGCTCCCTTCCATGCACTTATTTATACATCTCTTTCCCCACAATAAAAGCCGCCCGAGGCAGGGCAGGACGCGTGTGCACTTTTAAAATCGGCCACGTTGCCTCCGGCCAGCCCGCGGCGCACGAGTCGGAGCGCCCGCGGGGGCCTTGAGCAGCGCGGGGAGCGTGCACCTGCCGGCCCGGGGGAGCCCCACCCCACCGGCCTGCCGTGGCCAGCTCCCCGCGGCAGCCTGCAGCCCAAACTTGCTTGATCTTCCGGGGGCCTCAGTTCGAACGCGCCCCTCCCGTCACCATGGAGGCGACTCTGGAATGCAGCCGCGGGGCTGGAGACGGAACACAGGCCGGGCGGCGCCCCCCGGGTCCCAGCCCAAGTGCCACAGAGGCACTGGCTCGCGGAGACGGCCCCTCCGCGGCGAGCAGGCACCGCCAGTGCTCCGGGGCGCTCCTGCCGCCCCGAGACGCGCCTCCAGCCCTCGCTCCGCACCCCCTTACCTTCCTTCTTGGTGAAGGCATTTAACAAAGACTTCATTGTCCCCCTGACTCGGGCAGCAGGCGGCTCATTATATAATCTTCGCGGACGGCAGGCGGGCGGGGCAGGCGGCCGGACCCCTGGGTGCTGGCGCGGCTCGGGCCCGGGGAGCGGCGGCGGGCGACTGGGCACTGCCGGCTGCCGCGCATCGCTGGGCACGCCGGCCCCGGCGCCCGGAGGACAGAGCCCACCCCATCTTCTGTCTGTCGGCTGCGAGCCGGCTGCGCGTGGCCGGGCCGCTCAGCGCCCGCTGCCGCTCCCGACGCCCGTCATGTGAGCAGTGGGCTCGGCTCGGGCGCCGCTCCGGGAGGGCGCGGCCAGCGCGGCTCGGCGTCCTGGCGCCGCGGCCGAGACGGGGAGGCCGCCCGCCCCCGGCCACGCGGGCGAGCGCCGGGCCCCACGGCAGGCGCCGCGGGCGGACAGGGTCCTTCAAGGAAAAGCCAAGTTTTCTGGCAGGCGGCGCGTCTCGGGCAGAGGCGAAGGCAGGTCTCGGCTCCCGGCCACTCGCGCCCGCGCCCGGCGTCCACCGGGCAGCGAGGCCGGGGCCGGCGCTCCTGAGCGTGACCCAGATTCCCACCCGAGAGGCAGACGCCGCCGCACGCCTGCTCGAGCTCACCCCGTCGTGCTAATTACCCTGAGGAACACGGGGTTCCCCCCCTTTCTCAGGAGCAGAAAAAAGAAGTGCAGACAATTAGCGGCCGCCCCGCCGCCCAGCCGCTCCCAGGCGCGGGCCCCGCGCACAAAGTTCTGTCCGTGCACGCCCGAGGGGGCCGGCGGGGGGCTGGGCTCCCACGCAGGGCAGGGGCTCCCCGCACGCCGGTGCGGCGCCCGGCTCCCTCTCGCTGCCGCTGCGGCTGGGGCTGTAATTAAGCGTGCGTTGCCGCGGTTGCTAAGAGATCGGCTTCCGAAATTTTAAAAAAAAAAAGAGAAAAGATGAGACTCGCCGGGAAGCAGCACAGGGAGTGGGAATGTCGGGGGCGCAGCGGACGTCTATGTCCAGGGGAGCGGCGGGTGCAGACCCCCCCCACCACCGCAGGCCCCGGCCCCGGAACTCGGTGGTCAGCCCTGGCCTGGCCACAGGGACGGGGTGCCGTCCCCCACGTGCCCTGGGCCAGGCAAGAGCTCACACCACACCCCACGGCTCACCAGCTGCCCGTGTGCCCTGGGGGCGACAGGCACCCCTCCACGTGGGCCCCAACCACACCCTGGAGCTTGCGGCTCAGAGTGTGAGGACCCCCCGCCCCCACTGCTCAGGCCATCAGATGCTGCCGCTGTCCCCGGCCCATGGGGGGCTCAGGGGCACTGGCCAGGCTCCCTGCCCTTGGGGGCCGGGCAAGGCTCTTCCCGGGTACACAGTAAGGATGTGACAGCGTCCACCTGGGGAGGACAGCAGCTATGTCCCCCGGTGGCCTTGCATTGGGTCCTGTGGGTCGAGTCCCTAGGCGGGGCATCTGGCTGCTGCCCGGCCAGATGGGCAGG